ACAGCAAAGCTGCTGAGTCCCGGCCGCCTAGCTTGGATTAATCTTGTTGCGCCTATTGGTCACGTGCCAGCCGCTGAAAGCCCTCAAGGTTTAGGGTCTCGGCTTTCGCGATTTCTCCGCCTCTGGGTCGGCGCACTGAGCCGGAGGCTCCTAAGTCCCCCTTTGAAAAGGCATCCCTAATTTTGGGAAACCCCGAATCCCCTGTTTGAAGCAACAAAAATCTTCCCACCTCGTGAGGCTTCACTCCCACTTTCATGGCAGCTACGAGGTCCTGAGGGGCCCACGACATGCAAGCTACAACTTAGCAAGCGAGAAGCCATGGTACACCGAAACATGCATCATATGGACACCCTCCAGCTGCTGCCAGGTGACACAGAACTCCTCCAATTCCAGTTCGCCATTGTTATCGGTATCAAACTTCTTGAAAAGCTTGGGCATATCATCTTAGTTGTCCATCTGAAGTTCTGCCCTGCTGCAGCGCAAAAGACTTTGTGTCTAGCAATTGCCAAGCAACCCGCAGAGTAACCCAAGTTTTTCAGGCGAGCCCGTGTGCGGGTCATGAGGAGGATCCGATGTCGATCTGCCCATGTTTGCGACATGGCATTTCCCAGAACCTCCGCATGAGAAACAATTTGGTTCCCGCGCCACCCGACGAATTTAGGAGGACACGACTGCCAGTCCTTTAATGCAACAAGGTATACAAACAGATTGGACCTCAGCTGAGCTAAGCGGCGGATAGCGGCATGGCCATGAAGAGTACGCTAATGAAACAAAGTGTTCCGGCCACTATTCGCCCGGGCCACGTTGATGGTGCCACGTCTCCTGAGCACTCTGTCTCAGAGGTCACCTACAACTGGAACACATCATAACATTGCTTTGTTGAAAGCTTGTCTGTGAGGTTCTTTCTAAGGCATCAACTTAGATGTTCTACTCCCGGGCAGCGGGAGCAAGACATTTCGAGGCTTGGAATTGCTTCTCGGGTCAGTCTAACGGACAGCTGAGCACTCCACCGTACCCAACGGTGGTCACGGTCACAATGCACAACCAAATCGATGTCGGAAGCGTATCTATGGCATCATTAGGCTCAACGATGTAGAGCACGGCGGCGAAAAACAGCACCTTTTCTGAGATCTCACAGCAGTCATGCAACAAAGAGCGAGGGAGAGAGAGCCAGAGGCAGAGAGTCAGAGAGTGGGAGATAAGGGAGGAAGAATGGGACAAGGGCAAAGGCGGCTCAGGAGCCGTGAGGCTCTCTTTCAGTCCCAGCTGCAATTAAACACACCATAAAGAGCAACAGCTTCAAGGCGTCAAAGACCGTCGTCAACACATGCCTCAGAAGTGCTTGCAACAGGACTCGCCATCCCGTATCTACGTGCGAGGCATGTTTACACTGGCCCTTTCTTGGCATTATGGAGCTCCCAATTGCTCTTGAAACAGAACTTGATGCAAGGTCTGTTCTTCGACTTGGGTACGTAATGTCGGGGCCCCCCATACAACTCTGCTAAATGCTGTCAGCTATGTGGGGCGGCCCAGGCGCAATAAAAGTTGCAATTTCTGGAAGCGGCGAACGAGTTTGAGCTGTCGTATCACAGGAACGAAGCACACCAAGAGATAGTGCGCCGCTGGGTTCTCAGCTGCAGTTGGGGTCCGGATACCGGAAGCTAATCGGACGATTGTGGGCACAAACGCCGCGAGGTCGATCAAGTTGTACGGGTTCTTCACGAAATCCTGCTCACAGATGATGAGAAGAAGCTGACACATAGGAAAATTGCATGTCTCATTAGCGGACCCGCAATGAGTAAAGCCAAGCTGCTCTCTTTGGTCCAGACGATGCGAGCCATCGAGTGGCAAACTCGAGCAGAAGCAACACCTCGCTATAGCCAAGCATGGTGAGCCAAAGCAGTTACGAAAATTGTCGAAACAGCCCTGGAGCAAATCGAATACTCTCAGGGACTTATGAAATTCTCACCGAAGCAGCACATGCAAGCTAGCGAATGATTACTTTTCCAGAATTACTAGCACGGGTATGTGTGTGTGTGTGCATTTGATGTTTGAAGTGTTCAGGTCTGGTAGGGCTGTGGCTCAAGCCCAATGAAAGCCTCATGCCCAAAACATGTTTGTAATGTTTTGGAGCTGCTGCAAGCGCAAAGCAGAGGTCCCAAAGACTCCTGAGTTGAGCTACGTCGGCCCAGAACCGGATGCCTCCACGGAGATCTGAATAATGCCCTCGGCAAGCCCGGACAAAGGTGGGCCGGAAGAAGCTTGCCAGATCGTAAAGATGATGCTGGTGCAGACAAAGTAGTTGCTCAGTGCGGCAAACCAATAAGCTGCCTTGCCCGAGTCGGGATCCTTGGGCAGCGGTTTGCAGATATGGCTGGCCCTACGAAAGTATATCCTCAACATTCAAGCTGTTGGTTTTTGCGCGCCATCATTCTTGGAAGCTACCAGGATGTTCAAAGACGTGATACAAGCGCAGGAGCACGAAAACATGAGAAGGCACGTACGTACACACACGAGTGCAATGCACATGCAAAGATGCATGCCTACCTACCTGCCTACGTGCATGCATGCATGCATGCATGCCTTGGTACATGTGCTCATGCGTGCATTCAGAGTGAGGGCTGATGTCTACATATGTCTTGGCACCTGCCCTGTGTTCCATGCCTGCGCAACCACTCATGCATGGTTTGCAACATGTCCTCGTAAATTTATAGCCCGTACATGACTGCAAGTGGTAGTGTCGACGCTGCCGCAGAGACTGGGTGCTGGAAAAAACACCAGCTTGAAGGCCGAATTTGGGAAGCAAATGCGAAGAACGATTTTTCAAAACCTAGGGGTTTGGGGTTTGTCGGGGCCACTTTCAATTTTAATGGAATGGGGTTACAGTAATACAAGTCACTGGGCACAGAAAGTCACCAAGATTCGGCCTTTTTGTTTGATATTAGTTACGACTCATCAAAATCTACAATGTTCCCACATGTTTTGGGGCGGGGCCAAAAGTATGAATACGTGGCAATCACAAAATCCCAGGGCCAAATACATTTACAAGACACAACATGCCCTGCAAGTAAAGTCAAAGAAAACAACAGGCCCCAACCCCAACGAGTTTATGATTACGACCACTCTTTTTTCGAACCTCTGCTTTCATAGTGACCTGTCCCCAAAAGTCGGGTGTGGGCGGGGGAGAGCGTATTAAAGTAACCTCAGCATGTATCCGGATTCGTTGAAGTACCTACATGTGCCAAGGGTCTTCGAGGAAAAGCCACACGCGAGAAACTGCTGGCTCCCGCTTGAAGAAGTCGGCCATGGAGGCGTTGCTTACGCGCTTCTGTCTTAAACGGCCTAAGACACCACAAGTGTTCTACTTGTACCGTCCTGTGCACACGCATCAAAACATGCTGGAAACGTACGACCGCAAACACAACCGCAGGAATTCTGTGCCATCACTGCATGCAGAGTAGCTGTTTGACGGAATCTGGCCATTCGGGTAGAGTCCCGCGTCATCATCATCATCGTCCTAGGCTACAAACGACTCGCAAAAAGCAATACCTGTTGCTCGTGTGTGGTCATCGAGCAAGAGGAGGAGGAGGACAAGCAAGGTTGTTTGCGTGGCACATGAGACTCCAAGATGGCTATAAGACCCAGACGGGGCTATTCCGCCAGCAATTCTTGCAACTACGACGTAACGAAGAACAGGTTTTGAGAAACTCTCATATCCTCCATAGCAAGAATCACATCACGACACCAGACCACGTCAGAGTGTTCAGCTTTTCAAGACTTGTGGGTTCAGTTTGGGCGACGCTGTGATCAGGCATCTGCTTCCTTTCTTCGAGTCGTATAGGGTGCACAACTTTGTAGAAAATCCGATGAGTAAATGATGATGTTGATTGAGCTAGGGTCATCTGTGTTCCAAGTCTCTTGTAGTATATGAACCATGGAATTTGGGAACTAAATTCCACTGACACAGGGAACCTTACGTCTATCTTGAATGTCTTGTCAGCAGCAAATACTGTCGGTCTTGTTGCTGTGCTCGCTGCAGCTTTTGCGTTCAGGCTTACTTGGTAGTTAACTTCTGTAAATAGGAGGACCCCAATATAAACTCCAAAATACTATAATCCTTATCATGGGGGCCCAAAAAAGGTACCCCTCATTTTGGAAAACACCCACTTGACGCCGGGCTGCGCTGCTTGATTCAAAGCTGGACTCGGAGTCCGTCTTGTTGCTGCGCCTTGCTGAATTCCTCGGCTTGATTACTATTGTTGTTATTAGTATGAATGTATATTACTGCTATTCATGACTGTTTATCATTACTATTCGTACTTTTAATATGCAAAACCCCAAAGTCAAGCCACAAGGGTATAATATGAGGCTTATATAGGGATAATGGAAAATGAAATGGAAAATGCTATAGTAGGGTATAATATAGGCGTACTTCTTGGAGGCAAACCATAGATAGCCCAGGTTCATTGAAGAGTTCACAGACGGTCTATGTCCACCCTGCCGCAACAGATCTTGTGGATTTGTTTTGGCACCAGCTTCCATGCTCCTAGATTTTAAAGACTGCAAAATCTTAACAAGCGGTAGTAGTATGTCAAGCCACTTCTCCATGTTTCTTCTCAAGGCTACATATTATCTACCCATGAATCGAAGCCTGTGCTTCAAGCATTCCACAGGCTCAGAAAGCGCGCCTGCGTTGCAATGGCATTCACACGCAGCATATCATTGCGCGCGCTATCCTGCCAAGCAAGGGGCACCCAAGTTTGCCATAGCTGCAGCTTTAACTTTGGCAGGCCTCTATCAACATACCGCACTTCACCCTAAACCTTCAAATCCAAAATCCGGGCTTCCAAAAATCAGGCCCTCCCTTTTCGGGAGTACCTGCGAAGAGGGTTACCGTATACTCGGGTCTACATTGGCCCACTTATGAAACCCTCAAATGCTAAACCTGAAGTCGAAGACCTGCCCTAAACCCTAAACCCTAAACCCCAAACCCGACCTGGGTCTCCAGGGTGTTCGGCAGGGGCAGGTGCTCCATGGAAGAAGGAGCCACCTTGCAGGTCAGCTTTTGCTCCAGCAAACTGTGCAAGGGAAACCCTAAACCCTTAAACCGTATATGACATATTCCCTTCTTCCCTACTATAATATAACCCCAGTATAAGCCATCTGAAAAGAATAGTTGCCATTTTCTTTTGCATTCTCCCAATATAAGCCCGCTGTATAACAGTCCCTTATTCCCTAACAACCCCAATATATACCCCATAGTCCCCCTGAAGTACATAGAATATGGGTTTAGGTATATTGTAATAAGATCCCGATCTCCCAATTTCTATCTACTCAGGGGGGACTATACCCTATCCTTAGGCAAGAACTTCGTCTAGCAAGCCATGCAGCTTGATTCAACAAAGTTTACTGCGGGTTCGTAGGGAATAGGGGAATCTATTCTATATATAGGGTTTAGGGGTAGTAGGGAATAGCGGAATCTATTACATATAGGGTTTGGGGGTAGTAGGGAATAGCGGATCCTATGACATAATAGCGGAATCCATTATAGGTAGGGCTTAGGGGTAGTAGGGAATAGGGGAATCTGTTATATGTAGGGTTTAGGGGTAGTAGGGAATAAAGGGAATCTATTACATGTAGGGTTCAGGGGTTCTATCATATATAGCGCTTAGGCTTTAGGGTTTAGGCTAGTAGGGAATAGGGGAATCTATTATAGATAAGGTTTAGGGGTAATAGGGAATAGGGGAATCTATTATATATGGTGCAGTGCTGGCCAGCCCCCCCCCCTCCCCGCCCCTCCTTTTGATGGTTGGCATTTTGGGGATCTGCAACAAAAAAAAACACAGGACGCTTTCCCCCCCTGCCCCCCCTGCGGTGTGGTGGGTGTGCTTTCTCCCAAAACTGTCAGCATTCTCTTTGGCTGTAAACAGTCAAACCTCCTCCATGCCCCTGGCTCTACCCACTTGCTCGAGTCTCCCTCCATGCGCGTCAAACGGAAATTGCTCTTTCTTTTCAGGTTTGCTGGCAGCGCACTTAGTTACTCGAAGTCTTTCTCAAAGTCAAAATAATTTGAAGGGCCTTGCGCTTCAGCTGAGCAAGCAGGAGGCTATGTAAGGCCTTGCCTACTTACTTGAAGTCTAGGGTTTGGGGGCCACTTCGAGCAAATATGCCGCCGGCAAAGAAACCCGGCTCGGGGGAGCGCGGATGCACCGTGTCTATGCAAACTTGGAGCCCACTTGCTCTACTTTGCTCGCTTGCAGCCCACTCGACCCACTTGTAGCACTCTTGCCCCACTTGGCCCACTTGTGGCCCACTTGACCCCAGTGGGCCTGGACCAAATGTGTCAAGTGTGTCAAGTCTGTTGAAAAGCAAGTGTGTCAAGATCGGTTAGTGCGTCCGAAAAAAGCAAGTGGGCCACGTGTGCAAGTGTGCTGCAATCGGTTAGTGGTTCCTGCCTGCGCTCGCAATGAAATAGTTTATATCATATAGGGATATATAGGGAGTGTATTCAGTTATTCCCTCGTAAGCGCCAGTAAGAAAAAGAATTGTTGAGACATGTCGGCAATGGGCAGTCCGATTTGTGGCTTCTGCAATAGAGCGAGCCGCGCCCTCTCAAAGCTCAACTGTGCAGCAATTGATTGTGGTAGTGCAGTGGGGCCATGCAGCGGTGCTTCTAGATATGATGAAAGGATGTTCCGCCACGGCTGCAGCAGCCCAATGGCACTCTTGTGTCATCCCTGTCGATATTGCCCTATGCTGTAGCCCTCTTGCCATTGCAGGCTGGGTGAAATGCGAACAAAGCCTTTCCGTGATCGCCCATACAATCTCAACATGCAGCGCCTTGCCTGTGACACGAGAAGCATCTTTGGCGTCTGCTTCGGTGCGAAAGCCGTGCTGTCCTAGTGCAACAATGGACTAGCGGGATCTGAAAATAGTCTTGTGGCGGAACTTTGAGAGCCCGGGGTTGAAGAGTGGCTCTGCACTAAGCTACGCACTAGGGTAAAGCTTAGAGATCTGAAGCTGGCCATTGTCAGAATGTCCTTTGGAAGCTCTGGAAGCTCAGGACGAGGAGGAGCCACCGCCGGAGGCGCCGAGGGCTGCTCTGAAGGCGGCTGCTTCTTCTTTTTTGGTGTGGTGAGCTCTTCACCAAGGCTCGAGTCTGACACCTGGGCCAGAAACCACAAATCTTCGTCCTAGCAATAAAAACGTTTCTCTCAACAGTGATTACGCATCATCCCCAAGTCTTCTCAACAGTAACGATTAGGCTGACGCTCGCCTGTTGCGCCAGAAGCCCGAGCTCACGCAGTCCACGTAGGCAATGTACAACACAGAACCAGCAAAATGTTGTAGATTCCCCTGCAGGCGTGCCTCCACGTCAGACTCGTCGGAACTGTCCTGTGCTGGCACAATCAACGGCCGCGGAACGTCTGACGATGCCCGTGACACCTGCACCTGGCGCAGCCCGAAAACGTGTATATCAGGGATTACACAAATACGGGAGGGCCGCACCATGATACCACAAGAAACAAGCCTGAATAGTGATCATGTCATGTTTCGCACAAGTAATGCAAGGTATATTCACAATGCTGGCGACGGGAGTTAGACATACAATTTCCCAAGTTCAAATGAGAGCTCTAAAGGATATCACGATGGAATGCGATTGCTCAAGTCTCCCAAATCCTATGCTCCTGAACACTTTAAAACTAAGCCCCCATGATGACCCTAAGTCAAGTCTTGAACGCAGCATTTGCTCCCCTTCGCACCTTGGAGGAGCTGGCAAAGCTCTTCTAAACTCGGAACGCCAAAAAACCAAGACCCGTGACATTACAATCCAATAGTACTTGAAACATCTTGAAACCCTTCTCGTTTCGGGGCTTCTTTAACAGGGGGTCCTTCGGGACCCTAGGGCAACCCTAGGGCTACATGGGGGCGATATAGAGATTGTCAAAGTGCCTCTCAGCGACTCTAGAGGGGCTTTTTAAAACATTCACATTTCCCGGCCTCGGAATCCGAATCGCTGGAACCAGCTCTGGCTTTCGTGGTTAAAATCCCAGGCGTCTTGTGGACGATCTGGATGACCTCCAGATCATTTTGGAATATTGAAGTCCGGAAAATGGAGACTACTGTATCATCTTTGCCACATGCATGGCTTAAGATTACTATTTAGGGTTTAGTGAACGTAGCGGCCTAAAAAATCGAATAGTGAAGAAACAAATGACAATTGAAATTGAGACCGGGGCTGTGTAGGGGTACACAAAGACATCTAGCAATGGTTACGATCATCTCCAAACAACATGCCGAATGAATTGCTCGTTGCTACTGTAGTACTAGTTGCGAATGAAGGAATTGAAGCAAACCATGAAAACAATTGGCCAAGTTCATAATAATAGTAATAATAGTAATAAACGAATGTTACTAGTAATAATATGTAATAATCACGTTTATAGTGGCTGGCGTTGTCGTTGCTGCCATCGTGTCGTGGTCGTGGTCGCGGTGATGGTGGCAGTGGTGGTGGTGG